TATGCAGCCTGCAGGTGTGCCATTCTCCATTGGGGGAAGGGGGGGTTTGGCGGGGAAGGGGGGGTTTGGCGGGTAGGGGGGGCACATTGGGGAACCTGGCCTTGGGGCAGCAGAGAGAGTAAATCCGGCCTTGTTTCTGTACTTGGTGAAAATGTTCTTAGCCTGAAAAAAAGGAAAACTAATGCAACCACCACATCTTAGGACTGGTAAGCTGCAAAATATTACATTTTTGTTGTAGGTTTAGATACCCTTTAGGATCATCCTAATGTAGTTTATAACTCCACCCACACCGTGCCTTGCATTCTCCATAATATAAAACAAAGAGAAACCCAACAGCAATGGTGGGAGCTTCTCATTACTGCATATGGAGAGTGGGACATCCTTGCAATTTTAAGTAAAGGTGGGAGCACTACATGAGTGCGAGACCTAAGAAACTATTACATTTTACTCTCTAGATTATACCGAAAATGAAATGTCAGCTTTGGCATGACCAACTTTTTATAGTGGACTCATCAAAAACAGTGGAGGAAGCCATATTGTGGTTTGAACCAATATTACTTTTATTAAAGGGGAGATCCAGTAAAAATGGAAAGCCCCTATATGTTTGATGTCCAAGAACACAACCTCCCATTTGGTTAGGTGCATGTGGGTCAAGTCATCTGCCATCTTGTATCTCTCTGGAAATGAAATTAGAAATTCAAGTGGATGAAGCACCCTACGATAACTATACGATGGCCACAGTTGTGGACAAAATCCAGAATTTGGTCATCAATTCAGTCCATTGGCATGAGATATCAGCCTGAATACCAAGCTTTTGAAAAGGACACCTATTTCTATTGTAACATTGGTATCTTGAACCAAACATCAGTCTGACTCTCAGTAGTGGGTCTGCTGTATGGTGTGCATCTTGGGATATCCCTCACCACACTTATTTTTTTCATAATGAATGATCTCTGAATCATTTCAGAATGATTCAGATGATATCACTGTAAATTCATGGCAGTAAGACTCACGCTCAAACCAAGTATATGGTAAAAATTGTCTAAGCTGAGTTCTCCCTGTGTCGAAGCAATCAGCAGATTCAGCAATAGAGGCAGCCAAAATGATATGCAGATTTTGACTTTTCCACTAAGCGTTGGCTTGGCACCACCCGTTCCATCTCCTGAACCTTCCTATTGGTCTTCCAACAGGATGGGTAGCCTGACTGACCAGTCGGGTGGCTCAGGAGGTGGGAAGGTTGGGTCCAGCTTTGACTTTTACAAGCCAAGTATTCAACCAACATATGGACATCAACAGACCTTGAAGCATATACCATCTAAATATTACCCCCCTCCCATAAAAGAAATACCTCACCGCAAGGGATCACATACATTGGAACCATTTTCAACAGACCATAATAGCACATCGTCTGGCCATAGAATGTCTGGGATGGAAAACTGGGCAAATTACCTCCCACAAATATCTGTATATACTGTATACTGTATGTAAAGGTGTTAAAAAGCTGGGTGTGAACAGTTTCTAAAGACTGTGGCCTCCACACCCAGAGGGTTGGTAAGTTTTATTCTTTGGTTTTTGGGTTTTACAAATGAAGATCGTCCTATAAATTCAGCTGCAATATCTCTGAATCTGCTGTTCCTCTCAACCTTTGGTTCTTACGGATTTTTTTGCCCATTTGCTCAGCTTGAAAAGCACAGATTTGGGGCTGCTGTACTGTAGAGTTGGCAGCAGGGAGCAGATGGCTTTGCTAGGAAGGAGTTAGGTGGAAGGAGTTATGTATGGCAGAGGTATGTAAGAGGCATGTCCCATGTTGTGTCTATGTGACCTCACCAGATAACTATAGCCAGCTATAGATCTAATCATGGCAGTAGTCACACAACTAGACTTTCAGTAAAATTTTAACATTTCCCATTGGCCTTTAAACTTACAACTGGTAAAATTCTGAAACAACATAGTTAAAGTGTATATAAACCCAAGAACAAAAAATGATATATTGCATTGCAGCTTACTGGTCCTCAGATGTGATGGCTGCATGCGTTTTCTTTTTCAGACTGTTCATTTATATTGTTACTTGGTAATCCTGCCAGTAACTTTCAGTCCTAGGGAGACACTCACCATATAGTATCTATGGAGATACAGAGTTATCAGCCTAGCCTAGAACATCAAGTGTGCTTGTACTACAAAACGCCTTCCTTCTCTCCATCTCCATGACCAAGTGTTGAGGTGGCTCTGTGGAGCATAGAGAAAACTAGAAACAATGTAACTGATCACAGTCATCATAGGCAGGGAGGTATCAGCTCCCAAGGTTTGTGGTAGGATCAACAGATATTTTTTCACTCGTGGAACAGATAGAACACTTTCAGTTGTATCTTTAACATACCAAAAGGAGCAAATGAGAGAAGTTCACTGTTGGGGTTTACATACACTTTAAATAATATGTTTGGGGTTTTTTTTTTTTATATATAGGGCTGTAAATGCTTCATTCCGATTGATGAATTGATGCTTCAGAAATGAGAGGTCCACTTTACACATGAAACCCACCATGCCTTCTATTGTCATATTACCAATCCCTAGTTGAATATTGTTTCCATCCACAAGATGGCCAACTCCAATCTGTGCAGTTGACAAGTTCACCTTCAACCATATTAACAATATAGACAACTTTGATCTTAGCTGCTTGTCTCAGAAAGGGGAGCATGGGCCAACGTCACACTCCAAGGATCGAAAAACTGCCTTGGGGAAAGGTTGTCCCCCAGAGAAAACTGGTACAGTCCTCCATTCCTGTCTGTTTCTAGGCGAGCCCTCTCCAGTAGCTTCATGTGAGAGTCCTCGTACTGTTTTTCCAAGTCTGTTAAGTTCAGGAGGTTTCTGGGCTCCTCAAGTAGATGTTTTTGGCTAGGTCCTGGAACACCAATGGTCCCAGGAGCCACAACGTGGTCTCTGTTGGTCTCCAGACTTGGAGACATCACCGTGAAACCTTCCTCTCCTCCACGGTTGTTGTGCGTAAACAATAGACTGGAATTTCTCCAAGCCGCGGGCTTCCTTCCTCTCCTGGGCCGGGACATTCGGCAACTTTGTCTCTTGATGTGGCGATGGAGGTGATCCGATCGGGTAAAGCTCTTGTAGCAGAACTCGCACTGGTAGGGCCGGATCCCGGTGTGGATGCGCATGTGGTTCTTCAGGTCGTAGTTGTGGACGAACTTGGCGTTGCAGTGGATACACAGATAAGGGCGCTCACCTGTATGTTTTCGCATGTGGATCTTCAGCTTGTCTTGTCTGGAAGAAAAAAAAAAAACATAAATTAACAGGGACCGTTGATGAAACTTTTAATGTCTCCTATTTTTCTTCCTGAAAGTGCAAATTAAACTTTGTTTTAGTTGAGGATGAAGTGGAGAGAGATGAGAACCTCTGTCCGTTTTTTATTGCTGTCTGTGTCCCCGTTAGGGAGATTCATCCTCTCTATTTTTCCTGGTGAATGTTATCACTGAAAGTAAAAGAAAATACCAAAGTTTGGGTTGTCATCAGAACAGGACTAGATGGAAAAATCTTCCAAATGGGAACACTGGAGGTTGGGGGGAGTGGGAGGGGGGGTTACGTAGTCTGATGTAAAGGGGGCCTCCTAATTTGAAGGGTTTTTTTTTGAGGGACCGTAATTTTGTTTGTGTTTTTGCATGGGGTCCCCCCTTTAAATCCATACCAGCCAATTCCCTATCTGGAATAAGGGTCTGCTATGGATTTTAAAGGGGGCACACATCATTTTGCATTTACATTTTGTACATTTTAGACTGGGGTGGCTCAAGATTTTACATACTTTTAAAGAGTGCCATGACTGAAAAAAGGTTGAGAAACGCTGGTCTAAGCAAATGGTTAAAGGGCCAGGACCTTTGCTTCCTACAACGGCAAACTGGAGATTCCTTCCATTGTATTTTATTGCGTTACACATGGCCCAGTTATCTCCAGCACTGTTGACTATTTTCGGGCCTCCCTAATCTAGAGACTTTCCTTTACCCAAGGTCAATCAACCCTGGGCTGTCTACTGGGGTCTGAAGATAGCAAGTCACTAGGTCCTACCAGAACAGCGCACATTTCTACAGTTACTATGTAGCTCTCCTGTGTGGAGTACAAAGTGTTTGATATGTGTATAATTACATGTCTATTACTGGTAATAAAAGAGAGTAGGCCTTGTTTTCTCCTAAGAGCAGGTTTCTGTAGAATGACCCATTCTAAAACTCAGGCCAAACAAGTGGCTGTCTGCGGTGGATAAAAGCACAGGATGCATCTCATTGTACGAGCCACGTATCACAGGTCCTGATGGCTTCCTGGCAGGACACAATGTAAACTAGTCTATGACGGGAGATGTAAACAAGACTCACACAAATTTAATGGACTCCATATATATTTACACATTGATTTGTGTTCAGTGACCTGCAATAAGGCATTGATAAAGAGTACACAGTGTAGAAGAGATGTCCCGACAAAAGGGTCCATACACTAAGATTTACAGGGCTATTCACAAAAGGGTGAAGAGTTTGGAGAAGGCCGGAGAAGCGAACAATCTAGGACAACATAGCTGATTTGGAAAAATTCTCCAATTCAACTCACTTTCCAGTTCAGTTATGTTGTCCTAGATTGTTCCCTTCTCCAAACTCTTCACCCTTTTGTGAATAACCCTGTTAGAATCTCTATGTCCAACTACACTGCTCTCTGCATTGCGAGGGTTGCATACATGTTGGGATTTACATAAAATCCACATAGAAGTTCAGAGGGTAAAGTGAACCCCAAGGATTACAGACTTTGCAGGGGGAATGTTGCTGTATGTGAGTCCTTGGGTACACTTCATCACCAGGACAAGAAGTGATGGGGAAACAGGGAATAGACAGCAATTAAAACTTAACAAAAGGTTTTAAACCTTCCGGCATTATTAATTAAAAAGGCTTTATTTAGTGTCAGTGTCCACATGGTGAAGACTTTTCTTTTACTTCCAGTCCTGGTGACACTACAACAGGAAGTGAGGGGAAATCTCAAGCAATAAAAACATTTCCTCACTCTGTAAGAGTATAGTATGAGAGGAAGGGGTGAATTTCTCTTGGCGCATGGTATGAACAGGGTGTGTAAGGATTGTTCTGGAGTTATCCTCGGGACTGTTTTAGGTTGGTGGATATGCAAGCAGCAGACTGCTCCTGCCCAATTAGGAGTGTTCAGGCAAGCTGAAGATGATAAAGAGGACTGCTCACCAGATCAGCGATTTAGGGAGTGCATGGAGAGTACTCAATAAGCAACCTTATTTTTCTCTGGTGGCAAGGTTTCAGTCTGTGTTTCTTTTCTAGACATTAATATTCATTTATTTTAATGCTTATTATTGACAAGGCCGTGCTGTAAAATGATTGGCTATGGATATGCCATACTCTTTATTCTTTAGTATAAAACTTTCAACTGCTTACTGATCATGCTATTTTATGTAGATATAATAATTGTTAGCAGGGGTTCCCTGAGACCAGGGCTGGATTAACAAATAGGCCCGGCTGACCAGAATCCCCCAGCCCAAATCGGCAGACCCAAATCCGCCGGCCCGACCTGACCTGAATTCAGGAATTATAGACGGCCGCTCACTGGGGTCTTTCGGGGCCCTAGTGAGGAGCGAGCAGCCGCCTGAGCAGAGAGCTGCATCTGCTGCATACCCCTGGCCTGGTGAGAGCCCGCACTGACTACCTGGAGCCTGCACTGAACACCTGGAGCCCACACTGAACACCTGGAGCCCACACTGACCACCTGGGGCCCGCACTGACCATCTGAGAGCCCATATTGACCACCTGGGGCCCACGGTGAGAACACTTACCTCATAATGGGAGGGGAATAATTCCTGCAAAATTTCATGTACCCTCATGTCAATTAGTAAAAAGCAGAACCTCTATTGAGCCCCTTGGCTAAAGGTCAACTGCCTGTAAATGGCTATAGAAAGTGAACTGGTATGAAGTCCTTAGGACTTCTTTATAAGTTGGAAGCCAACATCAGCTCACTTCGGATCAGCCAAGTCTTTCTGGTTATACCTTCTTGTTGGTCCCAAGCCCCACTCCACAGAAAACATGGTTTCTATGCTCTGTACTGATGAAGGCCAACCAGCCTTACCCACTTTCTTAAAATATAGTCCCCTATTTTGGGGGTTTGTAATGGGAGGGAGACAGGCAGATAGCTTCTGTTATAATACATCTATACTGTGCTTGACACTGGTTCAGTTGAAGGCTTATTTGTTCCTTTTGGCCCATTATACTTTTCATAAAAGTCTTAAACACAGTCTAATTCCCCCAGAAAATGTAATATATTGCAGCTTTCCAGTCCTTAGATATGGTCACTGTATTAGGTTTCATTTTCAGGCATTGTTTACTCTATTTTCACCTGCCAGTAGCACACTTCCTGTCCTATGGTGACAACACTCACAGTACTGTATCTATGGAGTAGCAGCCTTGTCACCCTAGGAAGGACAGGACTACAATAACTTCCTTTTTCTCCATAACATAGACAGGTTATGGTCTGTAGCCCTCAGAGAGAACTGGGAAAAATTTAACTGATAAGAATGCAGCTCAAGCAGAGAACATGAGAAGTTGTTAGCTCACAAGATTTCTATAAGGATCAACAGGTATTTTTTTTGTACTTATCAAACAGATATAACAAAATGCCTTTAATGGTATATCACGTTCTCATACAATTCATCCCCACACAGCTACCTCCTCATGTATCACTTGTCCCTCCCTTTTAGATTGTAAGCCCTCAGGGGCCGGGCCCTCCTTACCATCTTGTCTTGAATTGTATTGTGAGTGTAATGTCTTCCTTACATTGTAAAGCGCTGCGCAAACTGTTGGAGCTATATAAATCCTGTATTATAATAATAATAACAATATTTAATAGGCCAAAAGGGTGCAAATAAGGGATGTTCATTGTTAGGGGTTTACATACCGAAAAGGACAGACTATAACTGGAAACTGATTCCCATATTTATTTAAATTGTGTATTTCAGCATCTATTGCATCAATTTTTCACTCCCTGCTTGTACATGCGCTCTGTATAATACAGCTTGGCATTTCCATCCCTCAGGAGACATGTGTGATCCTGCACTGATGAGCTCTGAGATAGCTTATCGCCTCTTTTCTGTTTCATCACTGCCCCTCTCAGACAATGCAGGCAAGCTCTATCCCGTATATCCGGCACCTTCCATTTCCTTCCATTTTCACCCTCAGCTTTCCTATCTCACTTAGGAATCTTCTATGTGTAACATAGTCATAACATGAACCATACTGAAAAGCAGCAGTGTGATGATGCTGCGAGGTGGTCTGAGAGCCAAATGTATGGTTCACAGTCATATATATCACAGTCGCAAATGTTAGGGGGCCACATAAATTATTAGTCCTAAATGAACCTGTAGCCAGACTTTGCACAATAAAATATTTACATATTGTGTGAAAGCGCTTCTAAAACAAGTCTTCATTCATCTCTGTAGCTATAGGAATCTTGGAGAAATGAATCATCAAAACTCACAACAGAGGCACTAAAATCACAGCTTTTTTTCTCTGGCAGCAGGGACTTGGAAGCCATCTAATATAAACGCACAGCAGGTGCTGTGGTACAGAATGGCCTCAGCCTTCAGTCATTCAGAAGACGGAATTTCCCCTATCGCACAGAGAGGAGGGCTCTGGGCGAGCGAGGTGAAGTGGCTGCCGGAAGTACAAAGGAGCCAGGAAAGCACTGGTGCCCGGAGAGAGGAGCTGGCCACATTAAACACTGCCTGCATCATTTCTACAGGATTTAGCAAAGCAGTCTCAGTCTGATCTATGGCTGAAGATGGGCCCCTTGAACGCCTGCTGGGTTTTTGTGGGTGATCCAGCCCTGTCCTTAGTATTATAGAATCCTTCCCAGACAGGGGGAGGGGCACAAACAGTGATAGAGCTTTACCAGAGTAAAGAGAGGACTAGGAGATGCATACATTACAGAGCACTGAGAATCTGGCTGCTTATACTACACTAGGTCAATGTTGTCCCATCAGATTCAAACCAGCACTTAGTTTGCATTTGAGTTCCCAGATCTGTACACCTGCTGTGCCCATTATGAGGAGTTCCCACTATTCATGTGATGAGTTCCAGGGTCTGTACAACTGCTGTGCCCATTATGAGGGGCTCCCACCATCCCTGTGCTGAGTTACCGGGTCTGTGCACCTGCTGTACCCATTATGAGGAGCTCCCACCATCCCTGTGCTGAGTTCCTGAGTCTGCCCACCTGCTGTGCCCATTATGAGGGGGTAAAGCAAAACAAAACAAAAATGCTTTACCGATTTGGTGCAGCGACGCATGGGGTTTCTCAGCTGCCAATGGGATGTGCGGGATCCCTTGTGTGTTTCTGTACCTTTAAGGAGGTGGGGCGTCCTCCTGACAAGCCTGCACCCAATTTGATATCTTCTGCCCCATGTGCTCCAAGATGGAGACTCTCATAGTTTAGAGTTAGGACCGCACTATAAGAGGTGCCTTGGCGCGGCAGTGCGGCTTACACATCCTTTGCAGAAGACGTGTATCCAAACCTCTGTCATTGTCCTTAGTGGTGAGACAAGTTGTTTTACATGCTAGTTTGTGAGTGTGCCATGATGCCTTTCTACCATTATGAGGGGGTGACTGGTCTTGTCTCAGCCCCCTCCTGTAAAAAAGAACGGTCACTGCTGCTCTCTCTCCTTGTGCAGGGTGACTGGTCTTTTCTCCGCCACCCCTCCTGTAGTTTTCTGCAGGTAGCTCCCACAGCTCTTCTCTCTACACTGGCTATGTACAGCACAGTGATGGTGTCACTCCTATAGGGTGATATCTGGGTTTGCTAAGACATTTGGTGCACATAAAGTGAATTAATATCCTACATGGATATTAACCCTTCACAGCCAGTGCTGTATGCCCTACTCCGCTGGCTGCGGGCCCCTGTGAACAGTCGCCGGGAGCCTGTTCACCTGCATAAAGCCAACTGTACACTGGAAGCGATTATGGCGACTGAAAAGCCACCAGACCGCCTTCAGGGGCCGGTAAATAGAGCCCCCCCCCCCTCACCTGCCCCCTCCTGCCTTGCTTCCCAGGCCCCACTGCCCCTCCTGAGGGTCAGGACTGGCATCACAGGAGTCAGCGGCAGAAGAGAGTGAGATGATCTCCTGCCCACGCAAGCTTAATTGCATCACTTCCGGTTTGGGTAGTGGGTCAGGGTAAAAAGGTTCAAAAGAATAAATTTAAAAATACCCCCCAAAAAATGTAAAGTCCCCCGCCACTGCAAACACATGCATAGTAATGCAAACACACGTCAGGTGTGCTTACAGATGAAAACAACGAAAAAGACAATTGTGCCACACGTTAGGTATTGCCGCATGCACCAGAATAAGAGCAATAATTAACCTGTAATAATAATAATTAATAGTTAACCTGTACGGGCTTTTAAAGCGTCGCCTATGGACAATTTGGGGTACCGTATTTTGTTGCCATTTCACGGGGCGCACCCAATTTTTAACCCTTGCAGGATGGGTAGCTATTTACTTGGCACAACCTCGTCTTTTATATTTTACAAAAAGAAATGAGTATTATATTGTGTTCTTGTGCACTAAAATAAACTAATTTGTATTTTTTGCTGAAGTTTGGGGTTTTATAAAGAGTTGCGCTAATATCATGCGACGCAAAAATTTGCAACTGCCGCCATTTTATTCTATAGGGTCTCTGCTTTCAGGAAATATATAATAAAAAGGATTTAAGTAATTTTCAGGCCTAAAATGTGGATTATAACATGTGTGCAAAAACCGCTCCCACAGTAATACGATTTTAATGGTTATGTTTAATGTTGGCCACTAGATGGCGCCAGAGACCCATCATCTGTTTTATGACCTGACTCCCCAGTACCTCTCCCTGCGCCACGCTTTATGCATTTATTCTCAAAACAGGCCTTCAGATGTCTCACTGTTTAAAGTCAGGAGGCCAAATCCTTACTCACAAGTAATTATTGCATCATTGTCCTAAGAGGCACATAATCACTCACATGCTCGCTGTTACTGCGGCACGAGGTTCCGCACATTTTCAAGATATTTTAAATAGCATGCAAGGCCAGGGCCGGCTTTACAGAAGAAGGGGTGACGTGTAAAAGGAGGATAACAATAAATGTGGGCTGATTTTATAAATGTAATATTAAAAATGGGTTATTTGAGGATTCCAAGGTGAAGGAAGAACGTTTGCTTACAGGAGAACGATGACAAATATTATTCTGATAATAATTTGCAATGCAGTATATGAATCCCTTGCTGCAGGTCTCTGCCAGGTCCTGAGCACTTGCAGCACATCTCCGCATCAGTGGGATGTTTAAAGGTGCGGAAGGCAAATGTTCCCCTTTAACTGTGTCATTCTGGAGCAGGGGCATCTAAACTTCGGCTCTGCTGTTGTTGTGGAACTACAAATCCCATGAGGCATTGCAAGACTCCAAACAGCCACAGGCATGACTCCCAGAGGCAGAGGCATGATGGGATTTGTCATTTTGCCACAGCTGGAGGGTTGGAGTTTGGCTATCCTTGTTCTAGAGCAGGTGTGGGAAAACTCTGGCCCTCTAGCTGTGGTGAAACAAAAAATACCATCATGCCTCTGGCTCTGGGAGTCATGCCTGTGGCTGTCAGAGTCCTGCAATGCCTCATGGGACTTGTAGTTGCTGGAGGGCCAGACTTTGCCCACCAATGTTCTAGAACAACACATTAGGAGTAAATACTGATTGGTCGGTACGGGCTACTGAAGTTAAAGCTCATCTCCTGGCAAACAGTTAAATTCACAGAAGAAATACACATAGAGGAGCTTATTACTTGCCACATGGATTCATAATTTTGTCCATCTAGTGCTGAGATTTACACAGCTCTGCCACATACCACAACCCTAACTGGAAAGGGAAGGGACCTGATCTTTCTCTGCTGCAGCTTCGCTTACACGTCTCCTTGGGGAGATTTCCCTTCACTTCAGAAGCAAAAGGAAACTTCTGCATATTGCGGAGAAATCCTCTCTTAGACAGTTGTCACCCAACCACGTGAGTCCATTAGAAGATGTCACCACACTTCCTGTTCAGGTGACATTTTGGTTTTCCCCTCACTTTCTGCCCCGGTGACAATGGTCGCTAAGACCAATAGAAGGAGCTTTTCCTCAAACAGAACTTATCCCCAAGAGAACCTATACCCAAACCGAACCTACCCCAAACCTTTTAATTAAACTTGACATTTTTGTTTTATCCTCTGACCTGGTAAAACGAACTTCGCAGATATTGCACATATAAGGCTTCTCTCCTGTATGGGTCCGCATGTGCCGCGGGAGTTTCCCAGCTCCCATGATGACCTTGTGACATATGGGACACTGTTGGGAGGCCTTCGGCTTAATCTTCCTTTCTTCTTCCAAAGGCCACGAAGGAAACATGCCCAGATGTGCGGCACTCAGAAAGCTGAGGTAAGCACTATAATCCATTTCGGCCTTGATCTGCCCAAAATGTTTGGCGGAATGCTCCAGAAACATATCCTTGAAGAAGTCTGTAGGAAACGGTAGAGCTGGGATCTCTACATTCTCCTCCTCCTCTTTAATTTTCCTGTCTTTGATCACAAGATCCAGAGGCCCGGTGTCCACAGGCTGCTCTTGGACTTGGGAGAAGTTCACCAGATCACCGTTCCACAGCTGGGGAAAGAAACCAGGAACAAAGTGGGAAATGGGTGGCCTTTTCTCTGCTGTGCTTTTTGGGTAAGGGTTTTCACTCAACAGTGACCTGATAGAAAAGTCTTTAATGGCACTTTGGTGGCCAGAAGAACTGTTGGTAGAAGTGTAATGGGTTGGCAGGTCCTTCTGAGTTTCATGGTAAGATTCTTCAGGTTCGTCGGACTCCGGGGCGCTTTGGTTGAAGCTGGTTGCCTGAATATCCATGTGATTTTCCTGGTCAACAAAGTCTTTGGTCTCATCTTCCTCGTCATCATCTTCATCGTCATCTTCTTCCTTCTCCTCATCGTCCTCCTCGCCGTCCCTTGGCGTCTCCAAGATCTCCAGGCACACGTTTATGATACATTGGATCTCTAGCATTTCAGCTGCGTCCAGAATGTGTTTAACGTTGGCCGTGGTGATGGTGAGCGTGGACGTGTAAGCGAATTCTAATATGGCTGAGAATGCATCCGGCTTGACGAAGTCGATCTCGTAGATGTAAGGCTGGTCAGTCATGGAGCCTGTGGTGAAGAGTTTCTTAAAATATTGACTGCAGGCTGCCAGCACAGACCTGTGCGTCCTGTACTCTTGATCCTGTATGATGAGGATCACATCGCAGAGAAGGCCGTCCTGCCTTTGTTGGTTTAGCCCACATAAGATATCGCTGCTGTGATTCGGGAATGGTATACCAATCAGGTCTTCATCTGTACTGGCCATGTTCTCATATGTAGTCCTGGAACAGAACAGAAATTCTGCATGAGATTTAAAGGGACTGTCAATTGAATCATTTACAACGCTTGCTGCAAATCTCGTACAAAAACCAACTGGAAAAAGTGGAAGCTTTAGCAGACGAGCCCTCAGTTCATGACTTTTGTTTTATTCCATAGTTGACTCACAGCAGAGAGAAAGCACACCCTCCCTGTCCACATACTAAAATGCAGTGCACATGTGAAAATTGTCAGGCCTGGGTATGTAAGGACAGGTCATGCCTATGGCTAGGCGTATGCTGACTTTGGCTTGGTATTAGCATAGATGCTAGGTCAGTGGTAGGCAACCTTGGCACTCCAGCTGTCATGGAACTCCAAGTTCCATGAGGCAAAGCAAGACTGATAGCTACACGCATGACTCCCAGAGTCAAAGGGATCATGGGATTTGTAGTTTTTCACCACAGCTGGAGTGCCGAGGTTGCCTACCCATGTGCTAGGTGCTAGTGCAGGGCTCTGGGCAGCAGTGAGCGGTCTTTATTACAGGAAGCTCCATGTCTCACACTGGATTACTGCACAGATCTGGAAGAAATACACAAAGCTCACCAAGATTCAAGGAAGAATAGACATGCAGGGGCGTCCCGAGGTCGGTGTCACCCGGAGCGAATACCGGGTGACACCCCGCTGTGACGTCATCCCGCATGCGCGGTCATCTTATTGACACCTGTCTGAGGCCATCTTTGTGATGGATGATGGCAGAGAGAGGAGGGGACGTTCACCTGGCGGGATAAGGTATGCTGCCGGGTCCCCTCCTCTCTCCTGACACTGTCGGGCTCTCGGTCCTTGACTGAGTGCCCGACTTTTCAGAGGGGGTGATACCAAAATGACTAACAGTTATTTTGGTGTCACCCCTCCAATGGTTTCACCCGGGTGCGGGCCGCATCCCCTGCACCCCCCTTGTGACGCCACTGTACACATAGCTCTTGTATTGAGATCCCGGAGTTCAGCCTTGAACGAGCTGAACTGAAAATGGATTCATAATTTGAGAATTAATAAAGTGGGATTTTCTATAGTAGGGTAGATGATTGTCTACATCACTGTACACCACAGCTTCCTCTGTTACATTGGAAATACATTTATTTATCCGCGTCTTCTGCGTGGTGGCTGAATATCAGGGACGGTTGTAGAATGGAATGTTCATGCTGAGAAAGCTTCATGTTTGCTCATGGAAGATCAATGCGAAGAGAGGACCTTACCGCTATCCCTCCCCTCCTCCCACACACAGCGGGTGAAAGGAGGACGAGCAAGGCCATGGGAAAATAGATGTGGGTAAATATCACACCGCAGCTGCTGGAGGCCACCTACATCCTACACTTGTCATACAGCTGCCATTGTCCTTGACTTCCAGGAACAGTCCCAATTTCTGAAAATGCTGTCCTTCAAAATGTATGGTACTAATTCAATTTAATGTCCTACCCGATGTAGTTTTGGGACAGTTTACTGACAGTGACAACAATGAACCAGGTCTGAGCTTATAGTTTTTATCATGTGGGCATGTGGCAGGGTGACAACACGGGAGGAAAATTGGCAGATGGTTGCCACGCTTTATATAAAGTAGCTGGGCAGATGCCATTTTCATTGTACTTGCGTTCCCACATGGTGCTAAGGAGTATAGGAATTTGGACCCAAATGCACCCAAATTCCTATACTCCTTAGCACCATGATTCCCATACTCCTTAGCACCATGTGGGAAAGCAAGTACAATGAAAATGGCATCTGCCCAGCTACTTTACATAAAGCGTGGCAACCATCTGCCAATTTTCCTCCCGTGTTGTCACCCTGTCACATGCCCACATGATAAAAACTATAAGCTCAGACCTGGTCCATTGTTGTCACTGTCAGTAAACTTGACCCCTTTTGAACCCTTATGTGAGCTTCAAGTCAGGAATTAGATCAACCATTCCCAACCAAGATTCTAAAGGGACCCTAGGATTCCTTCAGAGATTGCTAGAGGTTTCTTGAGCTGTCACTGACTGACCTTTCATCTCCTGGTTCCTACATTGTTCTGAATTCAACGCAACTTGGCAGAGCCAGTGGCATGACACCATTTTTCAAAAATGTCTCTAAGGGTAAAATTCTGAAGACCAGTGTAAGGGGCCTTCCTTCCACTAACCACCAATGTAAGGGGGTATTCTTCCCACTGACCACCAACGTACGGAGCATTCATCCCACTGACAACCATTGTAAGGTGCATTCTTCTGACTGATAACCAATGCAAAGGGCATTCTACCCACTGACCATCAATATAAATGGCATTCTTCCCACTGACCACCACTGTAAGGAGTCTTCTTCCCACTGACAACCAATGTAAGGAGCCGTCTTCCCACTGACCACAATTGTAAGGAATATTCTTCTCACTGACAACCAATGTAAAGGGCATTCTACCCACTGACCACCAATGTAAAGAGCCTTCCTCCCACTGACCACCCATGTAAAGGACATTCTTCTCACTGACCACCAATGTAAGGGACCTTCTTCCCACTGAACATTAATGTTAGGAGCCTTCTTCCCACTGACCACCAATGTAAGGGACATTCTTCTAACTGACCACCACTGTAAGGGGCCTTCTTCCCACACACCACCACTGTAAGTGAGGCATTCTTCCCACAGACCCCCAATGTAAGGGGCTTTCTTCTCTCCACAGATGGATTATTTTTAGCAGGGGTTCCCTGAGGCCTGAAAATTGTTTCACGATTCCTTTGGGGTAAAAAAAAAAAAAGTTGAGAAAAACTGATATACAGCTTACATGGACATAAAGACACCCCCACGTCCATGTTATGCAGTTGGGTGCCTGAGTGTCCAACCTCCAAAAGACCAGCCTAGTCATGTGATCACCCTGTCACATGCCCACATGATAAAAACTATAAGCTCAGACCTGGTCCATTGTTGTCACTGTCAGTAAACTTGACCCCTTTTGAACCCTTATGTGAGCTTCAAGTCAGGAATTAGATCAACCATTCCCAACCAAGATTCTAAAGGGACCCTAGGATTCCTTCAGAGATTGCTAGAGGTTTCTTGAGCTGTCACTGACTGACCTTTCATCTCCTGGTTCCTACATTGTTCTGAATTCAACGCAACTTGGCAGAGCCAGTGGCATGACACCATTTTTCAAAAATGTCTCTAAGGGTAAAATTCTGAAGACCAGTGTAAGGGGCCTTCCTTCCACTAACCACCAATGTAAGGGGGTATTCTTCCCACTGACCACCAACGTACGGAGCATTCATCCCACTGACAACCATTGTAAGGTGCATTCTTCTGACTGATAACCAATGCAAAGGGCATTCTACCCACTGACCATCAATATAAATGGCATTCTTCCCACTGACCACCACTGTAAGGAGTCTTCTTCCCACTGACAACCAATGTAAGGAGCCGTCTTCCCACTGACCACAATTGTAAGGAATATTCTTCTCACTGACAACCAATGTAAAGGGCATTCTACCCACTGACCACCAATGTAAAGAGCCTTCCTCCCACTGACCACCCATGTAAAGGACATTCTTCTCACTGACCACCAATGTAAGGGACCTTCTTCCCACTGAACATTAATGTTAGGAGCCTTCTTCCCACTGACCACCAATGTAAGGGACATTCTTCTAACTGACCACCACTGTAAGGGGCCTTCTTCCCACACACCACCACTGTAAGTGAGGCATTCTTCCCACAGACCCCCAATGTAAGGGGCTTTCTTCTCTCCACAGATGGATTATTTTTAGCAGGGGTTCCCTGAGGCCTGAAAATTGTTTCACGATTCCTTTGGGGTAAAAAAAAAAAAAGTTGAGAAAAACTGATATACAGCTTACATGGACATAAAGACACCCCCACGTCCATGTTATGCAGTTGGGTGCCTGAGTGTCCAACCTCCAAAAGACCAGCCTAGTCATGTGGGGGAGGGGAGCAAGTCACATGATCCACAACACCCAGAAATACCAAGAATTTCACTTCGCTTCTGGCGACTGATCCGAGCGGGGGAAACTAAGGGAATCTGACAAGTACTATATGTGCTGCTGGTAGGGTCACCATGACAGTGAACTTGTATTTTACTGTCACGTGTCTCCCATAGTGAGCTCCTGGACCCAAACTGCAATAGAGTGGCCAACTCATTACATTAATGAGCGCCAAAGGGGAACAACCAATGAGATTTCTTGTTTATTTCTTCTATAAAATGAAAGCCTAAACGCGATTGGTTGCAATTTGCACAACTCCGGTTTTGCACCTGTTGGTTTATCATCCTCAAGATATACAAGTGCGGCATTATGTTTCCCTAAATGAACATAGAACTAGATAAATATATCATTTCAGGGCATGCTCCTAATCACTGGAAATGGGATGAGGTGATGCAGCTGGAGGGGTAACTATTTAGACAAATAATTGGTGTGTTCCATGTCATATGACTCAAAGACAAGCGTGTTCTGAAGCAGACCTCCAACCCGCCCGGGTCAGTCCGGTGACACTACGGTGGTGGATTAGTAGCAGCTCTGGGGTAGCGCTGCATAGGTACAGCCACAGATGCAGCAATATCAGTATAGATGAGTTAGAAAATGAATTCCTATTGGTTGCTGTGAGTAGATTTCAAATTGATGGCAACCATACTGAAAATCACTACCTGACTGTCATCTGAACCCCAAGAGCTTACAGTTTGTGACAGAAGGCTTCTGATGTCTATGCTCCTTTAAATGGAGTGCAATCATTGAATGCAGGCCGGTCCTGGATGTGGACAGTGTCATAGACGGCCTACAGGAAGAAGACATCGGCGGATCGATATTTAATTGAGGGCCGTGCCGGGATGCTGTATATTCAGTGTATACAGAAACACATTCATTGACCAAGGTGCCGGGCCCGCTGGCACTGCCCTGGTTAACCTTGATATACTGCAGATCGATACAGCAATAAAAAATATCTGAGCCTCCTCTACAATCCTATAAAGAGGATACAAAAAAAGTAATTGTTTTCTTAATCTTAGTCCGCG